TAGGCCAGGTACATGAGAAAGAGCAGGACCCCAGGGCCAGGGGCTTCAGAGTTTCTGGGCCCTGCCCAGTGACTCACCCTCAGTCAGCAAGCTGAGCTCACAAATGCGCCTTTGTCACCAAGAGGGGAGAGAGAAGGGAGGAGAGGAGGCCAGGCCCAGAGTCCTCCCTGGCCGGCAACCTCCCTTCAGCCTTTGTGCAACTGATCTCTTTCCCAGTTCCAGCCCTTCCTCTCCTTTCTTCTCTTTCCGCTCTGAAAGTCTGCCAGGGGTGGGGAATGAAGATTCACAGGAGAAGCTGCCTGTCCTTCTCGGAAGGCAGCACACTCATGAAAGGAGCAAAAGCTTGGGAGGCAGAGACCTGGATCGGGCTCTTGGCCTTGCTATTCTACACTTGGACAAGTCCCATCCAGCCTCTGTCTGCCTCTATAAAATCAGGGAGCAAAATTCGATGATCTCTACAATTTCTTTGCTTACTATGTGCAGGGCACAGGTGCTAAGGGCTAAAGACACAAGACAAGTGAAAAAGATAGTCCCTGCCCTCAGAGAGCTTATATTCTAATAGGGGAAGAGGAGAGGGAAAGTCAAGAGCAAAGGTCAGTGAGCACAGATAGCCTGACTTCTTCATAAAGCGGTGGCCCCAGGGAGGAACTCCCCAATCAGAGGAGGGGACACAGGGCCAGAGGCATCTTCAATGCAGCCATAGATGAGGTCAGAGAGTCGGGGGCTGAGGAACAATTCCCCAGCAGGTTTGCTTCTTAGGGCAATGACCCAGGGCACTTCACTCATCCTTGCCTGGTGCCCTCCCAGGCTCCCTTTTGGACAGGAGGAGGTGAGGCTCCCTGCTTCCCCCAAACCTTTACTCTAGGCCCCACAGGTAGATATGGATCAGACTGCACTCCAGGGTTCTGAGCTGAGCCCCACATACCAGGGAACCCAACTGTATTCTGGGACATCCCCAGACACTAGAAACTTTACACTAATCTCTTAGGCAGGCTCCATAGTTTACAAAGCACTTTCACATACATTATTAACCCATCTGATCCTCAAAAAACAGTATAGAAGAAAGAACACTGACTCTGGAGAGCATGGGTTCAAATCCCACCTTTAATACTTACTAGTGATGTGGCCTTGGGCCAGTCACTGAAGCAGCTAGGCTGGGCTTTGGTTAACTCGAGTAAAAGAGAAGATTGGATGAACTGTCTCACCCTTCTGTATCTGTGATCTCTGTGTCTGTTCTGTGAGGCAAGCAGGGCAGGCAGGAATCATTATCCCCATTGTACAGATTAGGAAGCTGAAGTGCAAAGTCAAGTGACTTACCCAAGGTCATACATCATATAGTGGATAGAGGGCTGGTCCTGGTGTCAGGGACCTGACCAGAGTGATAGGACCTGAGTTCAAATCCAGTCTCAGATACTTTCTAGCTATGTGAACCTGGGCAAGTCACTTAACCCCTATTTGCCTCAGTTTTCTCAACAGTAAAATGGGGATCATAATAGCACCCATCTCACAGGTTTGTTGTGAGGATCAAAGGAGATAATATTTGTAAAGAACTTAGCACAGTGCTTGGCACATAGTAGGTGCTTAATAAATACTGGTCCCTTCCCCCTGCTACATAGTGAGTGCTTAATAAGTACATGTTGACACATCAATGAATGGTTGAATGAATGAAGAAGAGAGAGGGTGCATCCCCCAGCATTGTCCTTGAAGGCCAATCTGGGGGAAGGTAGTGAATGACCCCCCCACCTCATCTTTCCCTGCTTCCATTCCTACTCGAAGTATGGGCTAAGCCCTTCAGCCCCACAGAGTGGGGATGATACCATTAGAACTGCACCAGCAGCAAGGGAAAGCAGGAATACAGGAGGTGAAAGGGAAGGCTCCACTAAGGAACTGGGGCCAGTCAGGCAGCAATGTGATGGGTCACATTTGCTCTACTGGAAAGTGGAGCTCCCTGGGCTGACGCCCTCCCCTCCACATATTTGGCCCTGCTGGTTTACTGCCCTGCACTGCTGTTCACTGATATTCCTAAAACATCAATGTAACCGCATCAGTCATCAGCTCAAGAGGCTTCAGTGGCTCCCTATTGCTTCTAGGAAAAAATACAGACTTCCCTGTGTATCAGCTGAAGCCCTTTACAATCTGGTTCTGACTCATTTTCAGTGTCATTTCACAGTCTGCCCCATCCTGTACTCTATGTTCCAGCCAAACTGATTTAACTTGCTATTCCCCATGGATGACATTCCTCCCACCTCCTTGTCTTTGCACTGTCTGTCCTCCATGCCCGGATCACTCTCTCTCCTTGGCTGTACCTTACAGGACGCCCAGCTTCCTTCAAAGCACAGCTCAGGTGCACCTCCTACAGGAAGTCTTTCCTGATTCCCCCAGTAATCGATGCTCTTCCCTAGAGTCAGAAGACTCATCTTTCTGAGTTTAAATCTGGCCTCAAATACTTGCTAGCTGTGTGACCCCGGACAAGTCACTTTGCCCTGTTTGCCTCAATTTCCTCATGTGTAAAATGAGTTGGAAAGCAAATGGCAAAGCACTCTGGTATCTCTGCCAAGAAAACACCAAATGGGGTCAACAAAGAATAGGACACGACTAAAACAACCAAACAGCACCAATTGACTAGGGAAGTGTTGCTCTCCCCCTCGAACATGCCACAAGTGCATTTTCATGGACAGTGCCTCAACCCAATGGAATGAGGACAGGTATTGCTTCAGGTATCTTAACATAGTAGAAGATGCTGCCTTGCTATGTATGATCTAAAGTCCCTTTCAGCCCTGATAGTCTGTATTTTAAGACTTCTACATCTTGATATTCAAAGACCAGAGCATCAAAGGAATATAGATTTAGATCTAAAAGGACCTTGGGGTCCCTCAGGTCCACCCCTCCCTGCTTCATTTTATAGCTGAGGAAACCGAAGAAACGTGAACTACAGGGACTTCCTCAAGGTCACACAGCTATGTATCTCAGGTGGGATTTGAACCTCAGTCTTCCCAACTCCAAGAGCAGAGTTCTAATGACTACTTAATAAGAGGCAATCAGGGCTTGCAGTACCCCTCACACCTCTGTGGACACATGCTCCAGGGAGAAGGGCCATTGCCTTGCTGAGAGATTTAGGGCAAGTCCTGGCCTCGAAGACCATAGGGGAAAGGTTGGCAATTCAGTCTTTAGGAGGTGACAAGGCCGAGCACAACTAGGCATTAGGAGCCACACCTGGCTCTGTGGGTGCCCTCAATGGGTATCATCACACTCATCATGGCAGGTGCCCATGTCCTATGTCTAGCTTGGCTACTACCCTGCTGCTCTGTGCATTTTGACCTCTGGTTCTAAATGCATTGGGTGGTGTGGGGGTTGGGGGGTGAGGTTATAAGGGAATTCCATGGGCAAGTAGAGGGCTAGTGACTAGATCTTTTCTGGGAAAAGCTTAAGAGTCCTCTTCAAACCAGTGGAATGCCCTTCCCAGGCTGACCTCTCAGCCTCCTGCTCTGGTCCACAGGTTAGGACCCGTTCTGATCCGGTGAATCCAGCCCCCTGCCTTGCTCCCTTGTGCCAGGGGGAGGCTGTTTTTCATCTTCCCCACAAGCTCAGAAGTTTCCTCTGCAGGGGGTTGGGGGGGGGAGGCAAGGAACAGGGAGAAGGTGAGCCAGGGGCCAGCGCTCCATGAGGACATTAGCCAACCAGTGTCAGATCTTCCACCAGATGCTGCTTTTCGAGACTCTAGCAGCTGTGGAACTCATAAACCTACTCACTGCTGGGCCAGGGGGACGGGCACCGCCAGGGTTCACATTTTCCTCTCTGGGCTGGAAAAAGCCAGCAGTGGGCAGTGGCCCCAGTGGAGCTCAGCAGCAGCTGCTAGGGAGTGTGGGGGGGGAGGAAGGGGGAGTCCTGCCAGCAGCTCTCCCAACCTGAGCTCTCCCTGCCCAGCTTAACCCCCTCCCCACAGTGTCTCACCTTCCTCAATTGTCTTCTCTCCCACTCGTTACTGGGATGCTCTCACCCTCCCCTTCTTGGCTCTTAACTAGAAATCTGTTGTGGTTTTTTTTCTTTTGGCCTATTAGAGAGAAAAGTGTTGCAAATTGTACCAAAGGGCATGAAATATTTACGAAATAAAGAGCTTTTAGCAGGGGGGCCTGTAAGTAGCCCTCCCAGTTGGGGATCTGTTAGTTACAGGCAGAGGCAACCTTGGGGAGCTAATCAAATTTCAGGGTGATCATGCTACTTGGAGAGGGGGCTGGGAAAAGAGAGAATTGCTCCTCGGGAGGAAAAGGCAAAATTGCCCAGCTTGGACCAGCTGCAGTCCCCCATCGTGCCCATAGGCAATGCCAGCGCTCCTTGCACAGCTGGAGGTGGGGAGCAGAATTAGGCTGGCAGGCTCTAACTAGAGTGGCTGAAGCAGGATAGCTGCCCCAGCGGGTAGATTTCTTTCTATTCTTTAAGGGGGTGGGAAGGAATCTGCTCTTCTCCCCACCCAGATGCTACCAGCATCACAGCCCTCTGTTCAGAGATAGGTCTGTTCACCATCCTCTCCACATACTTGGCAACTTTCAGGCCATCCCCATTCTCATTGCCTTTCCAAATTCCGCCTCAAGTCCCATTTCTGAGAGGCAGCTGTGGGGGGATGGGGACAGCATGAGAGGCCTGGGTTCAAATTTCAGCTCTGACACTTACAAGCTATGCAAGCACAGGTGAGTCGCTGAGGGCACTAATACTTGCCCAGAGCTATTGTAAATCTTGAGGTAGTAGAATCGATGTGAGTTGTAATTACTCTTACTAGTATCATGCGTTTGGAATTGGAAGGCACCTCCAAGGCCATGGAATCCAGTTCTCTTATTTTAGAAATTAGGAAACAGAGAAAGTGATAGGGCCAGGATTCAAAGCCAGCTTCTCTGACTCCAAATCTAGCCTCTTCTTTCCACTGTGCTCAGCTGTCCCCATTTCCCATCCAACATCAATGTGCTTCCTTACAATGTCCACTCATCACTCCCACTTCTGCTCTCCAGGGCCAAGACGAATAAAAAGACTCATCCATGCGACAGCCTTCTGAACACCTGAAGACATCTCAGCCACCCCTGTAAGCCTCTTCTTCATGTTGCACAGTTGCGGATGCTTCACTCAATCCACAAGGGCCCTTATCTCAATTTTGGTCACCCATAACTGGCTGTCCTCCCAGCTTATCAATATCCTCTAAAATGAGCCACTCAGACCTGGACCCAGTACTCCAGTTGTGGTCTGACCACTGACTCCTCCATCTGTCTCTGGTTCTCTTCCTCCTTGAAACTCACAGAAATCCTTGTTCATATCCCTCAATACTTGAAGAGGTCAGTGATTTCATTAGTCGGAGTGGGGCGGGAGAGGGGAGGTGGTAGGGATGGGGGAAGGAAGGATGGAAGCAAGCATTTATCAAGTGAGTATTAGTGCGAGACATTTTTACAAATATTATCTCATTTGATCCTCATAACAACCCTGGGAGGGAGGGGCTATTATTAGCCTTGTTTTACAGTTCAGGTAACTGAGGCAGACCAAAGTTGACTTGCTCAGGGTCACACAGCAAGTGCCTGAGGCTGGATTTGAACTCAGATCTTCCTGACTCCAACCCCTGCACCCAATTCACATCACAACCCAGCCATGCCTTCTCACCATTGACCATGTCTCTCCGTAAATCCTCCCCTACACAATCCTCCATCTTCTTTATCTGTTTCATGCTCATCCCTTAGGGGCTGCCCAGCTATTGACCTTCACCTTAACACATGCTCCTCCTCCATGAATCCTACATGGCCCTGACAAAATGTCTTCATTCCATGCAGTTGGACAGGAGACCCACTGGGTTAGTTCATTAGCATCAGGGATGATGAGCTTGGTCCAGGAACCTCATTTGGCATCTACCTCATGTCTTTTCCCTAGCTGGAGGGCAGAACTGTGTTCTAAATGTTCCCTGGAACATCCTGAAGACCTAGAAAGGAGGCCACTGGCAAGTGACCCTCTCTGGCAAGCTGGTGTGCTTAGCTCAGCCTTGGCCAGTGGCTTCAGCACAGAACTTCTGCCCTGGGCTTCACTTGTAGGCCATGCCCCCTTCCTGAAGGGCACTCTCCTCACTTCTCAGAATATTTATCTCCCTTTAAGGTTCATCCCAGGTGTCATCTCCTCTGAGAAGCTTTCCTTGATTCTCTCAGCTAAAAATGCACTCTCCCTCCTCAATTTCCCCAAGATGACTGTTTCATGGGGGGGAAATGGTCACCAGGAATAACCTACTGCCTTTTCTTTCCTGTGAGCAGAGTTCATGGAGCCTGTAGTCCATCGGTACCATCAAGCTTCTAGAAGCAGAGGAGGGCATGTGACATTCTGGGGGAGCCCTGAGCCCTGAGCACTTGGGTGGAGGAATGCCAAACATCCCCCTTCCCCCATTCCCAACCAGCTGCTTCCCAACCAAACCAAATGGAGGTTCAGCTCTTTCCTCACCTCTGATGCTGTGTTTGGTGGGCCCCAGGAACCAGGGTAAGAGCAGCAGGAAAAGTAGATAAATGAATGACAGACCATTGACCCGGAACAGGCAGGCTGAGGAAGGAAAGAGAAAGAGCAGATTAGGTCTGGGCACCGAGGAAGAGCAGGTCAGGAGCCTGGCCAGGCTCTGGTCAGCCTCAGTCCCCTCCAGGAGAAAAGGGGTGGGGGTGGGGCAAGGTGAGCTTTAAAATCTGCAAATAGAAACGTGTTCTCCCTTCATTGTTTTTGCTTTTTAAAAGTTGTTTGAATTTGCATTTCTAAAACCACCCTCAATAAGTGATGGTGAACTTGGACAGATCTCCTTTAGGATGGGTTGCTGTGTGGATCTTCAGCCTTTCAAAGGTCCAACTCTTGCTCTATAATATCGATGGAAAAAGTATTAAACATTGCTTTATTATTTGATAACACCTACAATTTGGAAAAGGCCAATGAGGGAATTTGTTTTGTTTGGCTAGATGCGTTTGTATTGGTTGAGTTTTTCTTGCTTTCTCAATGGGGAGGGAGGGAATGACAGAGGTGGGAGAGAGAGAATTCAAACCTGAAAATAAAATAATTATTGAATTTAACAATTTTATTCAACATTCAACTCATGGCATCACATGCTCATTGTTGGGGATAGAAATGTAACAGTCTCTTCCCTTAAGGAACTTACATTGTACTGGGGAAGGGGGGCAAGGGGGGCAGGGAAGGACATGCATTCTTAGAAAGCCTCATATGATTTTAGCTGTTGATTTGAATTTTAAAACAATTTTAATCACATTAAGGTAGCTAGCACTTATATATCACTTTAAGGTTCTCAACATGCTTTGCAAATATTATCTCATTTTTTCTTTACAACAACCTGGGAAGGAGTTAGATGCTATTATGATCCCCATTTTACATATGAAGAAACCGAGGCAGGCAGCGATTAAGTGGCAAGGTCACACAGCTAGGACGTCCAAGGTGGGATTTGAACTCAAGTCTTCTTGACTCCAAATCTACCATTCTATCTACCGTGCCACCTAGTTGCCTAATATAACAGCTAATCGATATAATAATAGCTAACATTTGCAGAGCACTTTATAAATATCTCATCATTTGATCTTCAAACAACCCTGTGAGGGAGGTCCTATTATTATCCCCATTTTACAGAAGAGGAAACAGAGAATGTTAGAAGTTAAGTGACTTGCCCAGAGCTTCACAGCTAGTAAATGTCTAAGGCAGGTTTCAAACCCGGGGATCCATGAAGCCAAGGCCAACACTTTATCCACTAACCCACGAAGTGCTGTATTCTACTGAAGTCACAGAATCCATCTCTTCATATAAGCATATGATTTTTATAGTTTTTCTTGGACAAAATTTATTATATTGAAAGTTTTATAAATATGGAAACATTTCTGGCATCAATTCTGCTAGTAACTATAATGAACATTTTTTACAGAGAGCAAAACAAAGCTTTCTTATTTTTTCCATCTGTATCATAGAGTAAAAGTCAGAACTCTGAAAGACTTAAAAAGTTCTGATTAGCACAACGACCCACCACAATTCAGAGGACTCATGATGAAGCATGCTGCCTACCTCCTGATAGAGAGATAATGGCATCAGAAGGCAGACTGAGGCACACACACACACACACACACACACACACACACATATACTATTTGGACATGGCCAATGGCGGGATTTGTTTTGCTTGACTATACATGTTTGTAATATTTCTGTTTGTAAGAAGGGAGGGGCAGTAGTACAGACCTGAAAACAAAATAAAATAGAATTTTTAAAAAATAAGAATAAAAGTTGGAAGTAATATCAGAAATCTTCTAGACCAGAGGTGTTAAACACACAGCACACAACAGTCCCTCCTCCAACCAGATTAAAATGTAATTGGGAAATATTTTATGAAATAAACATGTGATACAACATAGATAATGTTAATTTGTTGTTTTCTAAGTCAATATGATCTTTATTTATGTTAAATGGACCATTTCTATGTGAGTTGGACACCACTTGTTCATAGAACAAAGATGGATGTCAGACACCTTCTATTGACTCATAGGCCAATGGCCCGACAGGCCTATTATCCCTTGATCACCCTCACCTCCCACTCCCTGGCCTAGAAAGGCATCTTCACCAACAGATTGCACTCAGCCCAGTCCCATGGCAATAGCAGGGCTCATCAGGAGCAAGTCAAGAGACGGCGCTGAAGACAACCTGGCTGAGGTCACTTCCTCTTCCTTGATATTTCTCCCTCTCCCCACCCCCAAATTCAGAGTGTGAGCAGCTGAGGCTTTCTGGGTCTCTCTCCCCAATAAGAAATTTAGGAAATCTGGAGGCATTGTGAAGAGGTGAAATTGGGGGAAGAATTCACTTGGCTCTCTAACACCTTCACCAAAGCCCCCAGGTAGGAGGCCACCAAAAAGTCTGGGGCATGAGATAACAGCACAGTGACAACTCTCCTTGACATTTTACTGGAGGAGGGGTCCTGGACTAGAATGCTGGGAGGTAGATAAGAACAAGTATTATTATCTGGACTTTACTGTTAGGGAAACCTTGGCCCAGAGATTAAGTCTGGGGAGGAGGATCTTCAGCCTTGAGGCTACATCTGTCCCTCTAGGTCCCCAAGCGTGGCCCTCTGACTGAATCTAAACTTCAAAGAGCAGATCCTAACGTTCCCCACCCCTGGATTAAGTAATTGACCCAAGGTCAGGCCAGCCACTGCTTTAATGCTAGTGTGGACTGCTAGAGTAGAGGCAGTTGGATCTAAGAGGGTTTCTGGGAGGGGATGAGCCTTGGACTTAGTGTTGAGAAGTAAGCCTTCCCACTCAGATGTGTGTCCCGGGAGATGGCAGTATGGGGTGTCAACAGGCATTTCTTTATTTAGCACTGATGGTATGCCAGGTGCCATGCTAAGTACAACAGAAGAAACAAAGGCAGAAACAAACAAAAAATCACTCAAGCCACAGCCTAGATTCTCTGAGCTCCCATTCTGATGCATAGATACTAGATCTATACAGAGCAGATAGAGGTAACCTAAAATGGAAAGGCATTAGCAGCTAATGCTAATTAGCATGGCTTAGATTAGATGGCTGTTGAGGTCTATTCTATCTCTAAAATTTGGGAATTCTTTTCCAATTCTCCAGGGCTTTGGGAAGCCTACCCTCCAAGCCCACCCCTTCTCTCCCAGACCTATTCCCATAAAATCCCCAGAAGACCCTCTCCCCTGTGCTCTCCCCCTCCCAAATGTAAAGAAATGTTCAACTCTTTTTTAAAAAATCTGATCTTCCAGAAAATAAGATTTTCAATAATTATGCATTTTTAAAAATCAATTCAATTTGACCCACAAGGGAGAGGAAAATGCATTTACCGCAAAAAGATTTCTCCAATTCTGTTTTCTCCCAGCTTTCCAGGTCTGCCTGCCCCTCCCTCTGAACCACAGTGCCAGCATAGCATCCACAGAATCTCTGAGAAGAGTTAACCACCCTGGAAATACCGACTGAGTTTACAATGGGCCAGCCCACAGACAGGCCTTCTGTAATAGTCTCTGGTGGACACCTGCCCACTCTGGGTACCCCAGTGGTAAAAGAAATAAAGAGGGTCGGAGGCTTAATTGTTGTGGTGGCAAGGTCTTTGACATAGTGTGAGAGAAAGGTCTTGGACTAGGAGTCCACAAGCTTTCAGCTGGGTACCAGTTTTACCACTAAGTAGTCAGGTGATCTGGTACATCTAACCCATCTAGGATGCAATTTCTTCCTCATGGAACAAAGACAGTCATACTGCTCTGCCTACATCATCAGGTCACTGTTAGTATGACCATAAATAAAACTGCTTTA